AGTGATCAACCTTCAACTAGTTCTATTGCTCCCATAGAGAAAAATATAGAACAACATGTAGAGCTAATGAGAAGTAAAAGACCAAGAATAGAGAAAAACTTAGGAGAATGATTTTTTACTTTTCTAGTAGAAGGAGAGCCAACGACATATAAGGAAGCTATGTCTTCTACAGATGCACCTTTTTGGAAGGAAGCTATTAATAGTGAAATTGAATCTATATTGCTTAATAATACTTGGGAGATAGTAGAATTGCCTCCTGGAAGCAAAACTATTGGGTGTAAGTGGGTATTTAAGAAGAAACTAAAACCTGATGGGAATATAGATAAATATAAAGCTAGATTGGTGGCTAAAGAATTTACTCAAAAGAAAGGGATAGATTATTTTGATACATATTCGCCTGTGACTAGTATTACTACTATTGGAATACTAGTAGCCCTAACATTTATCCATAATTTAGTAATACATCAAATGAATGTCAAGACCGTTTTTCTAAATGGGGATTTGGATGAAGAAATATATATGGAACAACCTAAGAGATTTATGGTGAAAGGACAAGAACATAAGTTTTGTAAGTTAGTGAAATCTTTATATGGCTTTAAACAAGCTCCCAAACAATGACATGAGAAGTTTGATAAAGTAATTCTAGAGTATGGTTTTCAAATTAATGAAAGTGATAAATTTTTATACTACAAGGATAGTGATGTTGGTTGTGTGATTTTATATCTCTATGTAGATGATATACTAATTTTTGGGACAAACTTGAAGGTTGTTATTGATGTTAAATCTTATTTATCTACTAAATTTGATATGAAAGATTTGGGAGAAGCCTATGTAGTTTTGGGAATGAAAATAGAGAAAACATCAAATGGAATATCTCTAAGTCAGTCTAGCACCATAGAGAAAATGTTGAAAAAGTTTGATTTTTATTATAGTAAGTCTGTATCAACACCGTATGATCCTCATGTGCATTTGAAGAAAAATAAAGGAGAATCGATTTCACAATTGAAGTACTCACAAATGATTGGATATTTATTATACATAGCAAATAAGTCTAGACCTGATATCTCGTATGTCATAGAAAGACTAAGTAGATATACACATAGTCCGAGTAAAGAGCATTAGGTTGCCTTAGAGAGAGTCTTTAGGTATCTTAAAAGAACCTCAGACTACTCTTTATGTTATAGTGGATTTTCTAGTGTAGTTGAGGGCTTTAGTGATGCAAATTAGATCACCGATAGTTTAGACATAAAATCCATTACTGGCTATGTCTTTCTGTTAGGAGGAGCAGCTATATCTTGGGGATCTAAAAAATAAACCCTAATATCAAGAAGTACTATGGAGTTAGAACTTATACCCTTAAATACCACGTGTGCTGAAGCTGAGTGGATAAAGAATTTATTACTAGAGATACCTATAGCGAAAAAATCCATACCTGCCATTTTATTATACTATGATAGTAAGACAGTGATTGAACTTGTGAAGCAAAATCATAATAATAAAAAGATGAATAGACATATATACAAGAGAGATATAAATCAATAAAGAAAATGCTGAGTAAAAGCATAATCTCACTAGACTTTGTGAAGTTTGAGCTTAATATAACTGATCAGCTAACTAAAAGGCTTTCGAGAAAAGTTGTCTCAGAACTATCGAGGAGGATGGGCTTAAGCCCACAAGAGAGTCACCTAGGGAGGTAACCCAACTTCTGTGATTAGGGACCCCATGAAAAAAGTTCAATGGGTAGAAACAATCCATACTGCATGACTCATTAGCACTGTTATTAAGGAAGTATCTAAAAGGAGATATTTTTCTACTCATCCCTATAGTAGAAGTGCATATATAGCGTGACAATAAGGAAGATTTTTACCCTGAATGAGACCGAGGCAGGAACACTTCTGCAAGGTATTGTGCACATGTACCTTTGGAGGGCTCACCTAAGTGAGAGTAGTCGTGAGGCCGCGACTATGAGAATTGAGCTATTCTCTAGAAACTCTCAAGAGAATCAAGATCAAGTGCAAGATCATTAATAACACTGACTTGCGAATCTTGACCAATATCGGTACTGTGTGTGTGACATGTTGAACTCTGGTCCAAAAGATCTAGTTCAAGCATTTGGTCACTATGATCCTTCAAAGGAAAACTGTTAACACTAAATGAGATTCAAGTCCGAAAGACACTTACACCTATTGCATAGTATAATAGTTGTCCATATTTTTTATATTAAAGTATATACAAAAATATTTGAAATACTTTGAAGTTTCAAAAACTTGTGGGGGATTGTAAGAATAAAATTAAGTTTTTAAAAATTTTATTGAATTTCATTTTAATTATGTTTAAATTGTAAATTTCAGTTGCAAATTTTTTTTGTCATAGTTAGTGTGTATATTCAAGAATAATAATAATTTTGACCTTAAATTTGGTTTTATGACTATTCAAGCCAAACAATCAATTCTATTGCAAATATAATATTTGTAAGTTAGACAATTGTGGCCCAACGGTCAAAAGAAAATTGAAAGCCATCATGTGTAGGTTACACAATGACTATACAAAAAAGGCTATATAAGTGGCTTTGGAAAAGAGCTTTTGGTTGTAACAAAAATTCACTCCAAGAACGACGAAGGAGACCTTCTAATTTCTTTTACATTTTGATCTACTTTTTCAATTCCTTCTTTTACACTTTGGCCTACTTTTTCAATTTATTTTTTTACACTTGGTCTACCTTTTCAATTATCATCTATTTCATTTTTGGGCAACTCGATTAGAGTCAGGTTCATTCCAATCTTTCAGTGGACGTGACCATTGAGAAGGTGCTGCTGCGAGCGTCTGAATTGGATCTTGGAGTCGCTGGTGTCCGTCAGTACCCTCACGTGGAGATGCTCAGTTGTTTTAGGACAGTGATCACACGCCTCTCAAACTCGCAGGTCAGCTCATTCCAAATTAATTTATTTAGTTTATATATATTGCATGTTTATACATTTTTTATATTTATTTAAATTGGATGTTATATGATCTAACTATTATTTACATCATAATTCTAATAATTATTGATTTAGCTAAAAGTTTAATAACAATTTTTATTAATTCCAATTATAAATCTGTACTTAAAATATATAATTAGTTTTACAGCAGGCTTAACTGTTAAGCCATTGCACTCCAGCAATGGCTGACTACCAGCCTACCACGCGTTTTCTCTCCATGACATACTGATCGTTGAGACGTATTTCTTTCTTCTGTCAGGGATCCGAATGCCATGATTCTCACTTGTTTCGTACGGACAAGCTTACTGGGAAAAAATGATATTGTACCATTATTTATTATTTTTGTTGGAATTTTTATCATTTTTATAGATATTTTTATTATTTTTATAGTACTTGCAATTAATTTCAACATTTTTATAATAAAAATATTCACAAAAGTTATAAATTTTTTTATTACAAAAGGACCTATAAAAATTATAGAAGCACTCAATAAAATAATGTAAAATTTATAAGTTACAGTACCACAAAAAAAAATAAAAAAATCAGTACCATAGTCAAGGGCTGAATCACCCTTGGGCTAGAGTGGGTACATGCCCCTCTCAAATTTTCTTTCTTATTAGAAATATATTTTTTGAAATAAAATTTAAACATATTTAATTGTATCTGCTCTAATATTGTATACTAGTGATATCAATTTAAATAAAACTAAATAATTGTTTACTTTTTGTATAATGTTATTCTGACTTAATTGAACGACTTAATGTATTGTGATATTAACTCTAATAATAAGTCTTAGTATTTAATAAACTACACTATCCATCCAATTGTCATAAACCATTGTATCTCTACCAATTAAATCTCAAATTATATACAACTAATATTATTGTTAACTTTTAGACACATTTCTGATAGATCCGAATATTTTTTAAACATATTCAAGTTATTTTATAATTTTTTGAAATAATAAGATTATTTCGTTAATGTATATTGTTAAGTAGTAAACTATAAGATTATAAATTGAAAATGTAGCAAGCTCGTCCTGGACCTTGGTCAGCATCTTTAACAATACAGAAAGTTTTGGATCTGCATTTCAAATTTGCTGCTGTTGGTTATTTATTACAATTACAATCCTAAACCTTCGGAGAATTGGAGACTAAGGGGAAACAATCAACAGTGGGTCAATAGTCTTAGTAAATCAAGAACAAAGGAAAGCCAAATGCATGAGTTTCCTAAAACTGCTGGGTTGGTCAAATGTAAGAAACCTTAATATATTCCACATTGGTTCTGCGACTCAGAACGCATGATACCCAACTCACAATGGAGCAATCTGAGTCTGCCTTCAGTCTTAGTGGGCAAACTGAAAACTGGAATTGAGGAACACATACGAAGGTGTATTGTACGCAATATCCTTGTTTGAGTCCAAATGGTTATTCCCCTGGAATGGATATAAAAGATGATGATGTTGCTGTTGCCGATGTGCTCACAGTTCAATTTCACGTGGGGTTTTTAGTCATAAATTTTTCTGCTCATTGATGTTTACACTGGCACCAAAAATAATCAGGAGAAAATGATCCGAATTTAAAATCTAGTTTGTGAAAGACTTACGTCTTAGGAAAAAGGCAATTTGATCTAGGAACCATTTGATCCTACAATAGAACTTTCGAGATGTACTAGAAAATTGTGCAATTCATGCCAACAAAGTCTTCACTTTCACAAAAATTAAGCATGTCTCTCCCATTCATATAATTGACTATCAATAAGTTTCAATTCTAACAATTTGCTCGACTTTGTAAAATAAAACCTAAACTAACTCAAAAATCCAAAAACATTAACATAGAGAAAGAAACAAAATGCAGTCATGACCAAATGCTACTTCAACAAAATCTCCTACATCCAAGCCGCCTTCCTACTTCAATACCAATTCCTCCTCCTACCTGAAAAAAAAAAACACACACACAAATATTAACCAAAGGAAAAACAGAGAAAGAAACCAAACCAAATGCAGTCCTCACATAAACTCACAGTCATGACCAGATGCAGTCATCATGCCGAAGATCTGACAGGCCAACAGACTGGTACCACCATTTTCATCTCCACCCGGACCCTCATCATCATGTCCATCAACCTCCTCCTCGTTCCCCGTTCCGTTCGGATTCTTACCCACTCCATTCCCATTCTTCAGCCCCTCCTCCTCCTTCCCCCGTTCTGTTTCTTACCCACCACATTCCCATTCTGCAGCCCCTCCTCCTCCTTCTCCCCATTCTATTTTTTACCCACCCCATTCCTATTCTTCACCTTCCTCTCGGCCCACCAACTATAAGACCTACTAGAACTACCAGAAGAAGAAGAGCTTCCAGAAGAAGAAGAGCTACCAGAAGAAGAAGAGTTACCACAAGAAACTTAGGGTGGAATGATGACCAGCAAACCAGCCTGGTAGTTCTAGTAGGTCCCCTTTATTAGGGGAAGGAGGAGAGGAAGCTGAAGAATGGAAATGGGGTGGGTAAGAAACAGAATGGGGGGAAAGAGGAGGAGGGGCTGAAGAATGGGAATGGGGTGGGTAAGAAACAGAATGGGGGAAAGAGGAGGAGGGGCTGAAGAATGGGAATGGAGTGGATAAGAAACCGAACGGGGAAGGAGGAGGAGAGTCACACCGAGGTCACAATAATTATAGTAGGAAGGTTGGGGTTAGATTTGTTTGGGCTTAGTTAGTTTGGGCTGGGTTAGTTTGGGGTTCATTTTGGACTTAGATTCGATGGGACAGAGTCCGTAGTAGACGGGTAGGGCTTATATTTGTTAGGGCTTAATTAGTTTGGGTTGTATTGGTTTTGGGGTTCATTTTGGACTTAGATTCGGTGGGATCTGCCAATTGATTGGCATGGTAGGCCTTTGAGTCCTGACACCCCCAATATAGCTATGGGAGAGACTACACCACAGTAACATCATGTTTAATCCTTGAAAATCAAGATAAGTCGCAATTAAAACCCATTCTTCCATCTCTGAGATTTTGCCTGGAGTTTCCCTATATTTCTCTTTTTAAGAGACATAAAATAAAAGAAAACAAATTACTATGATCGTTCAACAATATAGGCAAAAACCAATAAAATTTCACAACTCATCCCAATGAATACACCAAAAAAATACAAACTATATATATATATATATATAGACTGAGAGAGAAGGGGGGGTAGGGGAAAACAAACCCTAGAGAACAACATGAATCAAACAGAACGGAGTAAAAAAAAGTGAGAAAGGCTAGGGTTAGGGTTAGAGTTTACTAACGTCGATAATAACCACCACGCCCCATGACCTCTCACGAATTGTCGCAGCAAAACCACAAATCCAGACAAATTGAAGTCACAAAGTCGGAGAGGGGCAGGCTATATATATATGTTTATATATATATATATATATATATATATATATATATATATATATATATATATATATATATATATATATATATATATATATATATATCTCGCAAAGAATGGGGAAAAAAAGAGAGGAAAATGAAACTTTTGGGCCGTTAGTGGTAGAAACGCCACCGCTTTGGTTGGTAAGAAAATAGAAGAAAATTCTATTTAGTTTTAATTACGTAAAATTCTTCGTGCACTCCTATTGGTTTATTATTCGATCTTCATTTATCAATCAATCTCACGTTTGATAACTACCCCTATAATTACTCCTCAAGTTTGCCTAACTGGCCCCAACTACACACTATCTCCATCTTTCCCCCGGTTATTTGCCTATAATTAAAATTACATCTCCCAAGTTTTCTTAAGACCTCCACCTTGCTCAGGGCCAGAGTTGAAAATTCTTTCTTGAGTGGATACTTAAACAAGGTTTATTTTTTTCTTTTTCTTTTCAATCGTTTAAATAACAGTATACATTTATATTCACTAAATCATTTTTGATACTTAAAAATTCATTCAATACAAAGGATCAAAAACCATTCATAGTGTTATTGTGGACTATTTGAATCTCTAATTAAAGTATTTTTTATATAATAACAAATTAATCTTGTAATTTTTTAAGTTATAAAATGATCCCAATATGTCCAAAATTTATCCGGAGATTGGTCGTGTTTGAAACGTGTCCAAAAATCACTAGTCATTTAGGTATTAATTCATATGAGATGAAAAATCATAGAATGTGCATAATTGAATTTGCTTAACAAACATTTATAATACATCTAGATAATGTTAAGAAAACAACTAGTCCTCAAGTGGCTACATCACTGATCTGGCTCCGTCCCTCCCTCCCTCCCTCTCTCGCATTAGAAGAATAGAATTAATTAGCATATAAAAAGATTATTATAATTTCATTATAGTATTTTCTATAAATTATAGTATATAAAAAACTAGTTTAATGCTTGTGTCTGAAGTCACACAGTAATAAAAAATGGTAAACAATAAATATATTTGTATTTATATCTAAAATTAAATCACAAATATAGAGAAAAGATAATGAATTTAAGCATCGATTTGTAGTGAAAATGAGAGGTGGTAGTAGAAGACGGTGATGGTTGTGGAAGGTGGCAATGACCATGGTGGCGATGGTGGTGGCGAGGGGCAACGACAATGGTGGTAGTGACAGCGGTGGTGATGGTGGTGGTGGCGGCGACAACGGTGGTGGCGATGGCGGTGGCGGTGGCGGTGGCGGTGGCGATATAGGTAGTGATGGGACGGTTTCAAATACTATTCTTTTTTTAAAATATATATGGGTACTTTTAAAAAGAGGTTAGCCAGAATCAAACCCACATCGTTAGCATGGAAGGCTAGGAGTTATAATCAACGTGATTCATCATTTTTAAAGTCTCTCTAATTCAAAATCGAACATAGAACTTTGATTTCATTTAGTAAATGACTCCTAATTAAATCCCAATTGTGTTAGAGATTTCATAATTTATTTTTTTATACAACAAAAACTCTATATCTCCGACTTCTTATTTGATATTGTTGATTGACAGGCTCTGACGAAGAATGAATTTCTATTTTTATTGTGGTGGTGGTTGTAGTTGTGGTGGTGGATGCGGGGGTATAACTCTATCTCTATTTCTATGGTGGGGATGGGCTCAGTGGTAGACTTGTTGGGTGGTGGGAAATCATGGTTAGGAGAGAGAGAGAGTTACACAAATTTTGAAGTTTTGGTTGCTATGGCTAGGAGTTGATCGTGGAGGATCGTTGGGTCGTTGGAATTAAGATTAATTTTCTCAATTTAATACTCTCTTAATATTTTAACGTTGTCATTTCAATACCAAATTAACATTGGTGAAGTTTGGATTTTGACAAGTAATGGTGAAGGAAAAATTTTTTCCAAGCTTACAAATTGGATGAATGTGAGTGAGAGAGAGAGAGAGAGAAAGATAATTAGTGTGTCTAATATGTAGAAGATGAGATTAAAATACATGTGGGTTGTTTGGTTTCAAGATTAGCTTTGCTTGAAAAAAGAATAAAGGTATTTAACTACAAGGATTATATATAGTTAAAAAGTAAAATTGTCATTTATGCAAGAATATTTGTTGACATTATCATTTTTTGGATGTGCCATTTTGTCCCTTGAGACGGGGATAGTATGTGAAATGAACATTTAAATTATAAGAGATGACAATAAGATTTGATAAACTACAAAGAATGTTATTGTAGTTAGGTTATTTTTCAGAAGGTGTCTATTATAATCTACCCAAATAAATTTTAAATGGATATATTTTAATATTCTAATATTTATTTTTTTTAGAATTAATGTCGAACCTTAGAGTCGAATTGATCCTGTCATCTGCAACGTCCATTAAAGATGGTTCATTAATGTCCATTGATTTAGACTTCTTCCCGTTTATACTTCAATAGCTATTATAAGGAGTGAAATTCGAGAGAGATATCTGTGAACAATGTTAATTAGAGTGGATTGGGCTTAATAATTCAGTCCATGAAAGTAAAGGCCTTAAAATTTAATTTTTTGAAAAGAAAAGGAAAACAAGTAAACAATAAACCTAAAAAGCTACTAAAAATTAACTCTTAACCCCCTAAAAAAACCAAATTTGAAATTACGATCGTAATTTTTCAATTATTCTCTCTCCCTGTCTCACTTACCATTAAGTTCAGTTATGATAACAAAAAATTGAATGTAAAAACTTAATTAATTTTTTAATTTAAAAAAAATTAAATAAATTTATTATTAATATTTTTTTTTTGCTTTAGACCACTAAAATGTCTTAGGGCGTCCTTGTATGCTTTGTGTTGGATCTTTTTCCGTTAAATTAGTATTTGATATTAGGAAAAATTTCATCTACACCCCCTTACAGATAGGCTTAATTTCAATTACTCTCCTTCTCGATTTTGAAATTTTACTGACACCCCTTGTCAATCTTTGTTGAGTAACAACCGTGATGGAAATGTTTCTTTTACCACTTTACCCTTGAACTTTATATTTTTTTATACATTATGTCTGTTAATATGTGTATATATATACAGAGAGAACCCTACCCTAGCCCACCCCTCGCTACCAATTCCCACCTCCTTCGCCACTGTCTGTCCCTCCACAGCCTCACCCGACACTCTTCTCACATCACCCCCTCATCTCTCTCTCTCCAACAAACATTTTTTGTGATGGGTGTTGATGTAAGGGTTGTGGGGGTGGGGGTGGGGGTGGGGGTGGGGGTGCGAAAGGTGGTAGTCAAAGGTGCGTGTGCGTGCACGTTGGGGGAGTGGTTGATGTCAAGTGAGTTTGGGACAGATTGACCAAGGGTGTGGGGCTGAGTGGAGGCTGAACCCTCTCTCTCTCTCTCGACAAAGTATAAGTGGGTGGGAGTGATGTGTGATAGCTATCTCTTGAATCATTATTTTGATGACTTTGTGAATTATATGTTTGATTGGCATTTGAATGAAGGTGACAGTGGTTATATGGGTGTCAATGTCGTGTATTTCAAGCCTCTTCAAAATGGCTACCAAAAACATCTCTCCCTTTAGTGCAACCTTGTTCATTGGGTTTCTCTGCCCTTGAATTCTGGTCAAGCGGTCGAAAACAATTGGCTTTTAGGGGTCATGCTCAAAATTTCCAAACTGCAATTAAGCTTGCATTTGCCAAAGGATATCCTGATTTGCTTTCTGCTGCGCAATCAAACTAGCTGGTCTGTCAGGGGTAATGTTGTATCTTGCTTGCTGCTACGTAAGTCTAATTTGATTTAGTTTTCATATGGATTTCAGGTAGTTGAAATAAATAAATGAACTCTAAGGCAGTGCAGTGAAATTTTATAATCGAAAAAGGTGTCATTGAAGTTAAGTCTATCTATAAAGGGTGGGGATGAAATTTTCCTTTGATATTATTGTTTGGGTTAATTGGTATTTGAGTGACTTATGATGTGGTGATTTTGGTTAGTAGTATGGTCTTATGGTGGGAAATATTCGTACTGAGGTTCCAAGCTTAGCTGTTAAGCCGTTGCACCCCAGCAATGGCCGGCTATCAAGTGTTTCTTCTTCATTGCATGGTGATTGTGGAGACGTCTTTCTTCCCTCTGTCAGCGATACGTGTTCACCTTCATCATGCCATGA